TTATTATTATTATTATTTTTACTAGTGTGACTTAGCCTTATTTTGGATGCCATTAAAATTTGATGGTCAAGTATTACTGAATAAGTATAAACATGGCATATTCTTGAATTCTTGAGGTAAAAGAAGCGCAAAATACTGGACCTTTATACATCAACATTTCGATAGGCCTACTTACATTAATCAAAATCAGCGCAAAATTACTGAGCCCTAATATATCATTTGGATAGGCCTACATGCTTTCATAAAACAGGCCTGAATTACATTTATATAGGGCTACTTATTTTCATGAAATAGCCCAGAATTACATCATTTGTATAGGCCTACTTACTATCATAAAACAACTCAGAAAAACATCATTGGGATAGGTCTAATAATTTTTATAAAACAGCCCAAAATTACATAATTTGTATAGGCCTACTTACTATCATAAAGCAACCCAGAAAAACATTATTGGGATAGATCTAATTATTTTTATAAAACAGCCCAAAACTACATAATTTGTATAGGCCTACCAATTTTCCTAAAACAGCCCAGAATAACATCAATAGCATAGACCTAATTGTATAGGATAAAAACCTATAGATCTAATTATTTTTATAAAACAGCCCAAAACTACATAATTTGTATAGGCCTACCAATTTTCCTAAAACAGCCCAGAATAACATCAATAGCATAGACCTACTTCCTTTCACAAAAACCTAGCGCGGCATGACATCAACATCTGACCAGGCCTACTTACTCTCATACTTCTTGGAGAGTTCGACGAGCTCCCACACCGAATGCTGGGGCTTCAGGAGGGAGGTGGGGGGAGGGGGGTCGGCCAGCTTGGCATCCCCGAAGCCGTCGCTCCCGTGGAAGGGCTCCCCGGGGTCGACCCACGGGTGGATGAGGCTCTGGCCCGCGCCCACGAACACGGGGATCTCCTGGGGGTGAGGTGGGGTGAGGGGGGGGGTGAGGCGTTGCTTGGGTGTAAGGAGGGTTAAGCACAGCACACGCAGGTATGCATATTCATATGTGTGTGTGTGTGTGTGTGTGTGTGTGTGTGTGTGTGTGTGTGTGTGTGTGGTGTGTGTGTGTGTGTGTGTGTGTGTGTGTGTGTGTGTGTGTGTGTGTGTGTAGTTATGTAAGTATGTAGGTATAGATGACCATATATGGAAATGTATATGTACAGTTGCAGAATTATATTTCAGTACACTTTCCGGGTCCCACTTTTGTACATCTGGCGACCAATCGAAGTAAACATAGCGTAAATAGTATTTTGTGAATGAGGCTAGTATTTGTAACAATGAGTGTGATTGTGGAATGTAAATATATTAATGAATATTTTTAAAACTAAGTAAGCCATTTATCTTACGTTTTCTTCAAATAGGTGATCACAAAACATGTAATACTAGTTATCGTTGATTTCTAGTTGGATATTCCTCAAATGCGATACGAATTGTTTGTTTATCGAAACGGCAACACCTATGGTGTGGAGGCGGCATTTCCCCATTCTTCCAACACAAGGAGTATCAATGATTTAGTTTCATGCTTTAAATATCTCTGTATAGCAGCAAAATCAAACAAAATGTAAATACTTCTCGTAGCTGCACCATAATCGATCTTGTAAAATATACATTTTTTCCTCTTTGCCAGAACCAAACACTTATTTTGAATAAATAGAAATCATGCTACATTACATTCTTTTTTACAGAATGCATAGATTCTTCATCTGGTGTGTGTGTGTGTGTGTGTGTGTGTGTGTGTGTGTGTGTGTGTGTGGTGTGTGTGTGGTGTGTGTGTGTGTGTGTGTGTGTGTGTGTGTGTGTGTGTGTGTGTGTGTGTGTGTGTGTGTGTGTGTGTGTGTGTGTGTGTGTGTGTGTGTGTGTGTGTGTGTGTGTGTGTGTGTGTGTGTGTGTGGCGTCCATGGAAATACGAAGTCACTGCTTAGTGACGAGTTATGAAACAGTATGTTTAATTCGTTTCGGTTATTCAGAATGTCCTTTATCTTGTGCTAAAATCTGATCATAGTTTTTCTGTTATTATTCCGTGTCTTGGCGTTTTTAGAAGGAGGCATTCACATTCGATCAGTTGAGCGAGAAAATACAAGTTCGCTTGTTTCAACTCAAGCAACTACAAGCTAGGTGGTTCCAAAGAGGGTGAATAGCAAAAGTCAAAGAAACGACTCTCATTACAGGAGCTGTATATCTGTTATTTTGAAGAAGAAAAAAATTAGTTTGGATTAATGTCAGTTAATCTTGATCTTTACTTTTATTTGTTGTTTATGCAGTTTTTTTCCTTCTTTTTGTCAATACACGCTTGTTTACAGTGTATGTGTATGTGTAGAAAAAAAGACATTCTTGTCTTTTATCACAAAATAAAATCAGTTTTTATATGTCATTTTCACTGTGAATTAATAGATCAGATCTAGGCACGGATTCAATAAACAGACAATTATAATTATTTTAGAATATTAACTGAACGCAAAACCGTGGTCGGGTTAACCAGGCCTCAATGTGTGTATGTATTGTGTGTGAAACTGCAATTATACAGTTTTTAACGCTTTAGTTTGAATCTTTTGTTTTATATTTCATATACATTTTGAACCCCTTCTCACACAAAACGCCATGCCATGTAGTTGATAACTAGCACACACACACACACACATATATATAATTATTTATTTTATTTTTTTCATAGATGATGGGGGCTTCAGTGAATCGACTAATTGGGGATGTTTATTAATTTTGGAGATACTTTTACAAAAAATGGTAATTACTGTTGAAAGGGAAGACAAATAGTAATGTGTAATGTTTATGAAAGGAAATATGTATTGTTATTCAAACAGTGTCTAATCCCTGAGACAGAGGTGACGTGTTCACATGTAACGTCTCGATTTCTATCAGCTGGTTCGAAGTTGCTTCATTAGCCGTCTCTCAAACATTGACAATATTCGGCCAAACATTTTTCGTCGGGTTTGAGCGACATCCCTCGCTTGGCCATCGAAGGACTTCCACGTGGTGTTAGGCAGGGAACTACTTCGTAACTGCCCTGGACGTGTGTATAGGGCAGTTATCCTCATTGTTTCTGGGAAGGGCCAAGGCATAACCGTGTACTGATGGGACGATTTTTTTTCTAACAATTCGATATATTTGTCTAAGAGGCATTTTCCCCGTTTCGCTAACGGGGAAAATGCAGGTCACGCGGCCGCGCCTCGCCGTTTTATAGATAATTTGTCTGTCATATGTGAAATGTAAATAATGATATAGAATCTGAACATGAGATATGACGTGTTGGGCACTGTTCTGTATAAACAAATAACTATATAGTAAATTGAAATAAACTGATTTCTGAAATATTGAAAAGGGCTAACATTTACACCTTCAATTCCCTTCAGCAATGGGGCTTTCCGTGTATTTCCGGTGTATTTTGGTCGTTATGGGTGCCCTCCTCTTCCCACCCTGTCTGCCTGTACACCATCGTTCGGGAGATGCCCGGCGCTCCGAATATATCACCGTTGGAGAAGTTACTTTCCCTCACCCCATTGTCAAAAGTCAAAGTTGGTCCATATCCATCTGGGCGTAAGGGACGTTTTCTAGAGAAACATGCTTACTAAGCCGCGGGATGATGCTGTAGGATATTATAAATATTGTAGGATATTACCTGTTCCTTTCTGCCCCGACTTTGACCCTAGCATGCTGACGTCAGCATAACAGTGCTCATTCACAGCTGAGTCGACTGAGAGGGGCAGCCGGGCGCGAACCCAGGACCATGCGATTGCAAAGCCAGCGCTCTACCACTGAGCTATGCCACCCCATTGTAGCAGTTTATTTCAGATTACAGCTTTCTTTGCGTCCATCCTGAAAAAGGTGTCAGCTTGGCAGCCTCGTTTTGACCTCGGATTTTTCATGTTATTATGACGTCAAAGACCATCGGACATTTTTTTCAGCGAAGTGGATATTCAGGAATTGATGAATATTCATTGGCATAAGAGATGAAATATACGACTTCGTGTTATTTTCTACATTGTTCCGGGAAATTATTATTTCTAAGATAATGTATAAAGAGGATGAATTTGAAGGTTTGATATGCTAATATCATCTACACCTACGCATATATTGCATACACACACGCACACACACACATGTATATATATAATATAATATATATATATATATATATATAATATATTATATATATACATATATATATATATATATATATATATATATATATATATATATATAATATATATATATATATACAGATGCAGATGCCATAACCGAAAGCTCACCTCCAACAAGTCGGCGGCTCGCAAGATCCTCAAAACGTTGACGCACACGTTGTCGACCTTGGTGTTGCCATGGACGGTGGTGATGGCGACCACCTCGAGATCGCCGCGCTTGTGGGACTCGAGGGCCATGAAGATTGCCAGGGCGTCGTCCAGTCCCGCGTCCGTGTCTATGACCACTTTCGGAATCGCCATGGTTGAGGCAGGCTTTGGCGCCGGGACCTGAGGTGCGGGAAGGGGAAGCCTCACTGTGAGTCAATATGAGAGAGAGAGAAAGAGAGAGAGAGGGGGGGGGGAGGAAGAGCGGGGAAAGGAACAGATACAGAAGAAGAGGGAAAAGAGATAGATATAGAAGAAGAGGGAAAGAGATAGATAGAGAAGAAGAAGGAAGAGATAGATATAGAAGATGAGGGAGAGAGATAGATATAGAAAAAGAGGGAAAGAGATAGATTATAGAAGATAGAGATATAGGTGATAGAGAGAGAAGGGAGAGAGAGAGAGTAGAGAGAGAGAGAAAGGGAGAGAGAGAGAGAAAGGGAGAGAGAGAGAGAGAAAGGGAGAGAGAGAGAGAGGGAGAGAGAGAGAGAAAGGAGAGAGAGAGAGAGAGAGAGAGAGAGAGAGAGAGAGAGAGAGAGAGAGAGAGAGAGAGAGAGAGAGAGAGAGAGAGAGAGAGAGAGAGAGAGAGAGAGGGAGGAGGGAGGGAGGGAGGGAGGGAGGGAAGGAGATAGAT